GTAACCTGTCGAGAGATCATGTAAGCTAGGAACAGACTCGCTGTTGCCAACTTCAACAACCAGTGTTGGATATGGGTTTCCGCTTGAGTTAGATCCCTGGCCAGGTGGAGGTCTAGGAAGTCCTCGTGGTCGGATAGTAAGATCAGCAGTATAGTAACTATTCGATCCCACAATAAGATCCTCCTCGTGTACATTATGTAGTTGATTATTCCAGGAACGTATCAAAAACGCAATTTCACCTGCTACTGCTCCATGTTCCGTGAGAGGGACTTCGTAAGCTATAATTTTTCCTTCAACCAAACGAATTCTAACAGGGAGCTTTCGCTCAATTTCACAATATTTGATATAGGCTTCAAGTGACACATTTTCCCTGATAATGATCATATCCTCGTTCGCTTCCATTTTTTCTTCTTGAAATGCAAGTAAACGGTCCCTGGCTTGATTAAGAGACTTTTTGCTCAACCGAAGTGTAGTCGACTGCATATGGGAAGAAGTTGTGGCAGCTGAAACAGTAGAACTAAAGCAAGATATTTTAGATGTGATTTTAGTATTGTATGTTAATAATATTATGGATTTAGGATTAAAGAAAAGGATAGGAACATAGTTGCACCTCTGGGTTGTGATAATACGGCTTGCACTAGATGAAATACTTGAACGTGAATCTGTATCATTATATAAACTTGTCATCTTCGTTCTGATACGTATGTATGATTTATCATATGGTTACCTTATATAAAAAATTTTTCCTCCTGTCACTATGAGAACAATTGAGAAAATTTTCCCCCCTGTCACTATGAGAACAATCGAGAAACTTTATATTTAGAACTTGCAGATGGGCCAATCAAAAGACCAGGCAGGTTAATGGATAACTGACAACAATAACAAATAATGAATTGGTAGGTGTTAGTCCACATGTTTTATGTAACATATGATTTAAATAGCAGTAAAGCTTACAAAAATCAGGTTGTTTAATCAGTGCATATAATTCATATGATACTGTAATATAGTTGTGAAATAATAAAACTATCACTTTATATTAGTGCATGCATTTTTGTAAATTCAGGTGTGACATGTCGTAGTGCCACACTAGGGAGAGCGATCGTGTAACACTCTTGAGATTTAGCGTTTCAAACGGAGTTTCAGCTTACTCCTACTGGTCTGTAATCTCAGATTAGTTGGTGACCTTAAAGGCTTTACATATTGTTCGTCTAAGCAAACGTATACACGTATCTGGTAAAATTATTATTTCCTCTCGAGATAACTAACTGGTTCTAATTAGTCGGATTCAAACT